CCACCACCACTACTACTCCTGCTGCTGCTACTACCACTACCACTACCACTACCACTACCACTACCGCTACGACTACGACTACTACTACTACTACTACTACTACTACTACTACTACTACTAGTACTGGTACTGGTACGAGTACTAGTACGAGAACTATATAGTAGTAGTAGTAGTAGTAGTAGTAGTAGTAGTAATAGTAGTAGTAGTAGTAGTAGTAGTAGTAGTAGTACTACTACTACTATTACTACTGCTACTACTACTATTACTACTACTACTATTACTATTACTACTACTACTACTACTACTACTACCACCACTACCACTACCACTACCACTACCACTACCACTACCACACCTACTACTACTACTACTACTACTACTACTACTACCACCACTACTAGCAGCAGCAGCACCAGCAGTAGCAGAAGCAGCAGTAGCAGCAGCAGCAGCAGCAGGAGTCGCAGTAGCAGCAGAGCAGAGCAGCAGCAGTCAGCAGCAGCAGCAGCAACAGTAGCAGTCGCAGTAGATGTAAACACATTAAACACACAACAATCATAGTAAGTCACAGTAACCATAACCAGAACAGCAACAGACACATATGTATTATCACAACATCAGGACGTACATGCTGCTAGGAATGAACTCTTCCGACAACGTTACATTTTTCAAGAAAGACACTTCGGTACCGGCGAGTGTTACGAATCTGCCACTCCAAAACACCGCAACACGCCAAACATCAGCTGCTGGAGCTGTGGCAAAGCAGGCTTCACAGAAACATGTTCCGTCCAAGAGTGTGCACGTCTTGGAGAGGACATTGACTGTAGCCAACTTGCAGCCGCTGCAAACAAAAGACACTCTCCTCCTCATAGTTGAGAACTAATTCTTCGTTCCTGTGATTCCCTGTCTTTTTGTGCTGTGTGTTGAGTTTAGAGGAAGCCTGTGTTCCCTTATCTTGTCTTGTTTAAACTAAACACAAGCGAAAAAAAGAGGGAATCAGGAACAAGGTTGACCGTGTACTCTTGTTTCGGTTTCTTTCTGCGGTACCCTTGTGAGTCAGTTGTCAGTTGTCAGGATAACCCAACCAAAAGGCCAAAGTAAACGTAGTGAAAGGAAAAGAGTAGGCAACCTCTTGCCACTCGCCGGCGTCTTCCGAGGCATCATCCTTCTCGGTATCGTCTTCTGCGCTCCTTGGATGTTCTGAAGCTGTACGACCGGCCCAACCCCGTAAACCTTGCATGTCGCCGACACGAAGCCTGCGGCAAGATACAGCTCCCGAATTTGCAAAAAAGCCGCGGAAGAAGTTGATCGTCGTCAGACTGAACATCTGCCCAACCTTGCATTATCAACCGTTGACATATGTAATCCTGCAGTACCGTTTCCGGGACCGCCGAAACTCCAGCTAGCATCAGCAAGGCTCAGACAGGAAGGGGAGGACAGGGGAGGGGAGGGGAGGCGAGGCGAGGCGAGGCGAGGACGGACGAAGACAAGCAATATCGGAAATCGCAACATCTTCAAACAACAGCAAAACAGTCTGGGACTGCAGCGTGTCTTCGGGGACACCTGCTCCTCGTTTGCTTCCGATTGCGCCTCTGCAACTGCGCAGAATTGTGTGAAGGAAGGGAGCAAGACTCCACTCCGGGCTGCAGTGCATAGCTCGGTATCAGCATCCTGTCAAAACGATCCACCATAACACAAAGCCCGACCAGTTTTCTCGCAGCAATCTGAGCTTGTGCAAGATGCAGTAGCGGTCCGCTACTGGGACACGGCACAAATCAACGGCCGAAACTGTACCCCTCCCAGCTGCGCCACGCAGGAATGCGAGGTCCTGTGAACTGCTCTTCGTATCCGTCGGGCAATGGCGCAGTAACGCACACACCTTCCGAGCGTGGCTTGAGAGCACAAACAAGGACCTCCACAAAGCCGTCGACGTTCTCCAAGTGCGCATAATGCCCCGCACCATCCACGACTTGTACACACACCGTGGGCGCCGCCTGCTCCGAAGTTCTTTGCTCCGCACAGGCCTCGGCCACCCGGTTCCCATGTCGCATGTCCATCCAGTCCCTTGTGCCGTAAATGATTTCTAGCCGTGAGACCGATATTTTGGGTAGTCTGGCACCAAGCGGCTTCTTGCCCCATGCTCCAGGGTGTAAAAGAGCAGCTATGGCCACATCCGCGCTGGCCGGCCCCTCTCGCCATCCGTGATAGATGTAATCTGCGAGTGCCACGACTGCAGGGTCTTCCTCGTCGGCGTCACGCGGCGCCCGATGTCCACTCCAGCGTCTGGCATTCCACAGACAAATCCTGCGTGCATAGCTTTTTGGCAGGAGCCGTATGGCTGTAAATGGAGTCCAGCCCCGGCGCCAGAGTGACATAACGAGACGAATTCGTCGCGATGCGGATCGAAGCTTTGTCTGGTAGTCCTCCGGCTCGCCGACCAAACCAGCTGGGGATACGAGAATAAGGTTCCTCACGCTTTCGGGGTACGACTCTGCATACGCTGCAGCGATATTGCCACCGATGCTGTGGCCAAGTAAGTCCAATTGCGTGATCTCTCGGGCTCTCCGCCACGCCTCCAAGCTCTCAACGAACCATGCTTCGGCCTTCTCGACGTCAGTGCCAGGAGTCCATGTCGGATGGCTCGACAAAAATGAACCTAACACATCCACAGCGATCAGTGGAAGCCTTTCCCGTAGTAGGAGTTGTGACCAGCA